CAATCGGTAAAATAACCACACCAGGAGCAAACAACACACGTATGGAACAAGGTAAGCCATTTTTATTGAGAATTTTCACTTTTAACTACCTCCATGGATATCTTGTAGAAAATCCCATATAAACCCTTATAATTCGATGCCATATTGTGTTGCTTGTGTGGTTCATAGAGAGAGCTTGGGCTGCCTGTGATCAACCTTATTTAAATTAATGAGGGCCATTTATTTGTGGGTTTCAAGTACCAGTATAAGCCATTCATTATACCCATTCACAATAGGTTAATTCGTGTGTCACAATCATCTCAGGCACAATCTAATAAATATTACGCATTAATTTGCAACCGACCACTCAATATAAACATTCCAACCAAAAAAAAAATATCCAGGTTACATTTAGCACCCATATATGTAGTCACCACTCAACATTCACCTCATTTCAATCCAAAAATTTGTGGGTTAATATCATCTCACTACAATCCAATAAATTGTGGATTACAATCAACTCTTTACAATCCAATAATCTGTGGGTTACAATCAACTCGTTACAATCCAATAATTTGTGGGTTATAATCAACTCATTACAATGCAATAACTTGTGGGTTACAATCAACTCATTACAATGCAATAATTTGCGGGTTACAATCAACTTATTACAATCCAATAATTTGTATGTTACAATCAACTCATTACAATGCAATGATCTGTGGGTCATACTCAACTCATGACAATCCCATAATTTGTGCATTACAATCAACTCATTAGAATCCAATAATTTGAGGGTTACAATCAACTCATTACAATCCAATAATTTGTGGGTTACAATCAACTTATTACAATCCAATAACTTCTAGGTTACAATCAACTTTTTACAATCCAATAATGCCTGAGTTACAATCAACTCATTACAATTAATACAACAATTTCTGGGTTACGGTCAACTCATTAAAATCCAATAATTTGTTGGTTACAATAAACTCGTTACAATCCAATAATTTCTGGGTTACAATCAACTTATTACAATCCAATAATTTGTGAGTTACAATCAACTCATTACAATCCAATGATTTGTGGGTTATAACAGCTCATTACAGTCCAATCATTTNGGTAAAATAACCACACCAGGAGCAAACAACACATGTATGGAACAAGGTAAGCCATTTTTATCGAGAAGTTTCACTTTTAACTACCTCCAAGGATATCTTGTAGAAAATCCCATATAAACCCTTATAATTCGATGCCATATTGTGTTGCTTGTGTGGTTCATAGAGAGAGCTTGGACTGCCTGTGGTTTTATTTACTCTGGGTCATGCAGAGGTACATGTATGACTAGGAAGAATAAATCAGGCTCATTAACTGGCTTAGCCAGCTTAGCTGTTGCCTTTGCACCTTCCACAATACCCTGGTTTAATTTTTTAGTGAAATGTTAGCCGGTGATGAGCTCTCTTTCAGCTGGGGAATTTGGCTAGAAACCGCCTGTGAGCTGCATCCCTTGAGATAATTATCAAACAGAACTTCAAAGATTTTCTGATTACTAGGCAATGGAAAGAACTTTGCCAAATTCAACTGATCAACAAACCTTCACTTCTTGCCCTCTTGGGTATCATACTGTCACTGAGTTCTTTCTTGCTATACTGGGATGAACGAGTCATCACATCGCAGCCTCTGCTGTCTGGTGATGAAAAGCTAGGTGTTGTCCCATGGACTAAGGTTGAACGATGATCACAAGTGCAAGAGGGTCCAAAATTACACTCCAAGTAGTCCATCCTGGCAGAAAATAAAGATGATGTAAACTCTACTGTCTGTGATATTATAACAGCTGTACAGCAATACCAAAGAAAACAAATAAAGCTGAACTTCTCATTCCATAGGAAGTGGGACGTATGGTGACCTAATAATTGGTTGGTGAACAGGACTCTGGATCAAGTGGCCCAGGTTCGAGCTGTAGATGGGGTCAATGATGTGTTATGTTTTAAGGCAAGGCAAGAGACTATTCTCCCTCCACTCTGGTGTGTAAGGTGGTACTGGTGAATAACGCTGGGAGTAAACCTGCGATGGACTAACATTCTATCCACAGGGGAGTAGAAAATAAACCCTTGTCCTTTACTGGGACATAAACTCTGGTTGTCTGAACTACTTGGCTAAAAACATGTACTCCACTGGGAAGAGTTAACTTGTAGTTGTGGAGAGACACTGTTAGCACAAGAAAACCTGGGCATTGTAGAGAATTTGACGTGGCTCCAAGAAATGAGAGAAATGGTCAACAAGCTGCCTTTTTGTTTCAGCCGCTTGAGTTAAGAGGTGATTAAAAGAAGTGGCCACAAAAATGTTGAAATTCTTCAAATTGTTGGTAGAAAATAAATTATGATGAATACACACAAGCCATAAAAATAAATAACATTATAAGAAAACAATAAAATTATTTATACAGCTCAAATATTAGACCTTTTGATTTCACTGATAATTGGTGGAAAGTATGCCCTGTATGACTGACATTGCTAACACTGCAAAATTGTGTTTGGTTTAGATAAGAATTATCTGAGAAAGTTAGAATTATCCTCAAAGTGCCCACACACATACATTCTTGGTAACAGCCTGCCTATAGCTGCTCTGTAAAAAAAACTAGTAGATCATGAAAGTAGCTTGAATATTAGATCTATCTATGGATCTCAAATTTGGCAGGCAGACACCTAAATAAAGTTTCTTTCTTACTTAAGTGCTACTTACTCACGACTCGAATAAAAAATATTATATTTTGTTAAGCACAAGTTCTCCATGTGTTCTTTGTTCTTCACACTTTCCTTTTTCCTTTAGGCAACCAATCCATTACCACCAGCTAGTTGCATAATTGTTAAATAATCAATAACAGGTATTTCATATTCATGCGTGGCTATGGCAGCTGAACTGGAATGCAGGAGTGCAGTATTTGTCTACTATCCAGCTTGGGGTTAATGGTGTAAATGTGGTTGGAAAGTTTTGTTTGTTTGTGTGTTTGTTTGGTTTTTCTTTTTGTTGGCGATAAACAGCATTTGGATAATCAGTTTCCAAAGTTTAGCGGTAGTTTTCTTGTAAAATATTCGTCATTGAGAGGATGCCATGCATGAAATAATCATGTGGTAATTATTTATCCCTGCAAACTATGACCAAAAGGGCATCTGAAAACTTAAGTGCAATGGCAGCATTAAAATTCAAGCAACGAAATCCTTCTCGCTGAAACATGGGTTTGTCCCAACTGCTAACAAGCTTAATCTTCTTAACAAGCAATCTGCATGAATTACCATGTATAAGCACAGTTAATGCCCTGGCATGATAATTAATCTTTAAAGCAATTCAGATGGAGGATCGCTTCAACTGCCCTGCCGAATTTTCAAATTTATATTAGTAGTGTACCTCTAATTTATATAGTCTGATGATTGTTTTGTGAAATGCGAGTAACTCTCTTGTTCTATCTTCAAAATTTGTACCTCAAAGCAATATGATTGAATGAATGAATAAATGAAAAAATAAATGAATAAATAAATAAATAAATAAATAAATAAAAAAGTGAATGGATCAATAATTGAATAAATAAATCAATGAATGAATGATTGACTGAATAAATATATAAAAATACAATAAAAAAAAAAAAAAAAAAAAAAAAAAAAGTCTACAGTATCTCTTCAGATACGTAAACAACTTGGTAGCTTCAATCAACAAGTCAGAAAATTTCGTGACTTAAACAATAATTTAGTGTTTTTCTGTCGTCTGTTGTTTCATCATTAACTCAGCTGCAGGCAAAAAGGTTTTTACATATTCAGTTACATAATTAACACAATAAATTTTTGGTTATAAAACATACATGTATTTCCTGTAAGGTGGTTAGGAGTTGGAGATGAGGCTTTGTAAACACAGTCATGTTTTGTTTCGCTTCATTTGATAAAAGATATAGCATAGAATATCATGATCTGAGAACTCGAAAGTCCTTGATACTGATAGACGTGTATTCGCTGACTGAACAACCAGATTTTTGCCAAATGCTTCTGATGGAATATAACAAATTTTGGGGGGGTACAAGTCCAAACAAGTTAAAAAATAAATTCGCTTCAATCAAAAAGTCGTTGTGTTAACTGTTATGATAATATGCCACATGCTTAGACCTCAGGTCTTTCAACTGATGGCCACGCATGCATAATTTGCGATGCATGTACCTGATATCTAATTCACATATTGTTTCAGACAAATTGTCTGACTTGACATGAATTAAGTTCATGGTGACCCTTTTTTCCCCGATATAAAAAACGTGGGTAGGTGGAAAACAACCACGAGGAACGTGATCGTTTCGTTTTAAAGTATCCTAGAAATTGTTTACAAAACAAAATGAAAAAAACGCAACAAGCTCAAATACTGTCATGGATCCAGACAAAGCGTGTGTAAAACCTGTCTGGAATCACAAAACGCGCACGAATCACAATTTCAGACATTGGAGATGGGTAAAAGAACACCAGTGTTTGGAGACAAAAATATTAACGATACACTTCTACTACAACATCTTGACGATACTCAAATCCAGGCCTTGGAAACCAGGAAAACTAACAAAAAACACGTAAAAAAATAGCTCGAATTTCAGTCAGACAAGCTTCCTGACACTGTCGCATTCTAAATCGGAAGATGTAGATAATTATGTAACGCAATGGGGCGGCTTATTACGATCTAGCCAACATAACAATCCATAAACAAAGCTAGCGAACCTGAACTAACCTTCCACATTACTTGCGGAGAAAATATCCAAGTCTGGCTGCGAGGAATACAGTTTTTGCGAGACAAAAGCGTTAGACGACCTGAAAACAACGAATGCCAAGATCCCTTTGTAACCGAGCCAAGTGGTGACAGTCTCAGCGGCTTTCACCATTAGCGAGTCAAGGTCCAAGATGGCGGCCGAAGTCGAAGATGATTTCTTGGAAGAGAGCTTGTCTAAACCTATATTCTACTCACCTGAAGTTGAAGAGGCGATATCTCAGGTATTAAAAATTCAGCGAGTGTGTGTATTTTAGTTAAGTACAAGCCTGAAGTAATTTAATAATGATTTAACTGAGCCTTTTAACTACCGTCAGATCTGCCCCGCAAGCAGTTGGTTTCTCCTACGGCGAACGAGATAGAATCTCTCTCGTTCGGNGGGGTAACCATGCCTACCTCCGACGGGTAACCTCCCCATGGCACCTGTTGCACTGAATTCTCAGTGGAGAATAAGCATACTTACCTAGGCACAGGGCCCACCATGAACCAAGAGGTGGTTGGGAGGGGGCAAATCAAAGGCAAAAGTGACAAAGCTAGGCAGAGCAAGACCATGAGGGCAAAACTACACAGCAATGGTTCAACTACACATGCCCAAGTCGATCACCTGCTGGCCAACAGCAGATCTCCCAGTTAACTCTGATTATAGATACAGTTCATTATTGATAATCTGATTAAAATTGAAGTCAGAGAATGAGTGGTATGTTGCTACAAGAATACATCCATAGTAGCATGTGTAGCACAAAGGTATAAGCCAAAGGTAACTGTTAGCTGAATTGCAGGAGTGAAAGTTATGGTAAGGGTAAGTTTCATTTTTATTTTCATTTTATTTATTTATTCCATTCTAAAATTACAAAGATAAATATAAGGTAAACAAGCAAGAGGAGAAATGGAAAGGGCAAAAATATAGCAAGCTAATTAGATGCCCTTGTTTAATTGACAATAATAATTAGGGTAAAAAAGTTAACTTAACATAGGAGAGGAAGAGGTATNAGGGATGCACTTCGAGTAACGTAGTTATGTTGCTCAGATACCAGAGATAAGGTGTAATTAGATGGTTTTTCATCAATTAAGTGGTCATATAATAACTGGCAGGTATATAGTTTAACAATGTCAGGAAGCTTAATAAGACCAAGGTTTACATAATGGGGAGTAATATGAACACGAAGTGGCACATTGTTGATTATTCTAATAGCTTTGTTTTGTAGTCTTACCAATTGTGACAATGGAGCCTCGTAATAATATTTATTATTACCCCACAGTATGCAACCATAAGTTAAATAGGGATATATAAGCCCATAATAAATACTTGTTAGGGATTGGGATGTCACATAGGGTTTTAGTTTTGCAATATCATTTAACAGTAGGTTGGTGTGGCGTTCTGAAAATATTGATAGAATTTCATGGTTGTTACTTAGTGATTCTTGAAATTAGCAAATAATGTGGATTAAGTAATGAGCCTCCCATAGTGTAGTGAATCTAAATGAAATTTTATATTTTACAATGAAACATTGCAAACTGATACTTGTACATGTAGTTGATATTACAAGCTGTGTGAGTTAAGTTTATTTTTGATGCTCCTTGAAGTCAAGGGCAATTGATTTACAATAGTAAGTTACAAGAAGTTGTGGAAATTCTTTCAAGAAGTTTTACCCTCATTTTCATCTCTGTATATTGAAGATAACCTGATCCCTTCAATTTATATTGGAACATTTTTAGTTTGCACTTTCTGTTCTGGTTTGCCTTTAGTTTCTAGGCCTCAATATTTTGCCATGGTCAATGGTTTTAGGGTAACGTGGTAGGAATGATAAAGTGGCTCTACGTTTCAGTAATGTCACAAAATGTTTGACCGTGATGGCCTGGGAGAAAGCTGTAGTATTAATAGTAACTAGCCAAGGTTGCAGTCATCTACATACACCTTTAGTTACTCATTTAACAATTAGCTACANCAGATCTCCCAGTTAACTCTGATTATTGATATACTTCATTATTGATAATCTGATTAAAATTGAAGTCAGAAAATGAGTGGTATGTTGCTACAAGAACACATGCATAGTAGCATGTTTAGCGCGAAGGTATAAGCCAAAGATAACTGTTAGCTGAATTGCAGGAGTGAAAGTTATGGTAAGGGTAGGTTGGTGTAGAGTTCTGAAATTATAGAATTTCATGGTTGTTACTTAGTAATTCTTGAAATTAGCAATTGTTAATGCAGATTAAGTAATGAGCCTCCCATAGTGTAATGAATCTAAATGAAATTTTATATTTTACAATGAAACATTGCAAATTGATACTTGTACATGTAGTTGATATTACAAGCTGTGTGAATTAAGTTTATTTTTGATGCTCCTTGAAGTCAAGGGCAATTGATTTAAACTAGTAAGTTGCAAGAAGTTGAGGAAATTCTTTCAAGAAGTTTTACCCTCAGTTCCATCTCTGTATATTGAACAAAACCTGATCCCATCAATTTATACTGGAACACTTTTAGTTTACACTTTTGGTTCTGGTTTGCCTTTAGTTTCTAGGCCTTAATATTTTGCCATGGTCAATGGTTTTAGGGTCACATGGTAGGAATGATAAAGCGTCTCTATGTTTCTGTAATGTCACAAAATGTTTGACCGTGATGGCCTGGGAGAAAGCTGTAGTATTAATAGTAACTAGCCAAGGTTGCAGTCATCTACATACACCTTTAGTTACTCATTTTATAATTAGCTACATTTACCTGGAAGTGTTGCTCCTTCAATAGTAGTGAGCCAATGTAGGAAAAGCTGTTTAATCCAAAATTAACAAGCTGTGAAGGCTAACCCCCGACGTGGCGGATTCTTCGAGTATTGAAACCAAAACTATGGACAATTAACAAGGGTTGTTAAAAAAGTTTGAAACTGATCTCTGTTTTTGTGTTTTATTAATCTTTTTTTATTAGGTTTTCAAGAGTGATGATCCCTTGGACGGCAAAGATTTTAACCCAGTGGACTATATTAATTCACTCTTTCCCACTGAACAGGTTTGTTTAAATTCAGTAATTTAAGTTTATTATANACAATTAGCTACATGTACCTGGAAGTGTTGCTCCTTCAATAGTAGTGATCCAATGTAGGAAAAGCTGTTTAATCCAAAATTAACAAGCTGCGAAGGCTAACCCCCTACGTGGTGGATTCTTTGGGTATTGAAACCGAAACTATGGAAAATTAACAAGGGTTGTTAAAAGAGTTTAAAGCTGGTCTCTTTTTGTGTTCTGTTAATCTTTTTTGATTAGGTTTTCAAGAGTGATGATCCCTTGGACGGCAAAGATTTTAACCCAGTGGACTATATTAATTCACTCTTTCCCACTGAACAGGTTTGTTTAAATTCAGTAATTTAAGTTTATTATAAGGAATACTGAATGCAGAAATCATATCAACTCACAAAAAAATTCCCAGGTCCAGATGGGATTTGAACCCATGACCTCCCGTGATCTAGCTGGACGCTCTAACCACTGAGCTACTGGAGACTCTATGGTGAGCGAGGGTGAAATTTGGGTCGTTGACTGGGACCAGATCGCGTGGTCACACAGCGAAATTTAAGTTTAGCGTACATAAATTCACTAAAATTTAACAACAAATGTGGATTAGTCTCTTATCCTTTGCACATTAGTAGTTCCTACTTTATCAAACATTTCATTCATATAAAGCAGTTAGCACTGAATCTTTTGAATGGTGTAAATGAGGAACAGTGAGTTACAATGTAGCAATTTTCTTATCAACTTTGCATGCTACACATGAACTGATGTGTCATTTATTATTTTTAATTATTTATTTTACTTTTTATTAATTAAATTTCAGTCCCTAGCCAATATAGATGATGTTGTTAGCAAGATGAGGCTAAGAATCAGGTAAGAATTACAAATCATATACAACTTTTTTCCTCTCGGAGAAACAACATTCATTATAAAATTGGCAGATCTGTAGTGGAATACTTACATTTTGTATTTAGACCTCTAGACAGCCTTGAAAATAAGCACAGTCTTTATAAGATTATTTTATACTAAATCTGTGGTTGAGCTGCCTTGGATGTGCTATAGAAGAGAATTAATTTAGTTGCAGAGGTTAAAAATGGGCAGTGAGAGATGCTGCTCAATACCTCATAAAGTCTGCCTACCAGCAACTAGGAGTATTTCTACTCCCCTTCTGGATGGGATGCTAGTCCATCACAGGATTACCCCCAGCTTTAAATTAGCCAGTACCCATTTATACACCTGGGTGGGGAGAGGTGTACTGTGAAAATAAAGTGTTTTGCCGTAAAACACAACACAATGTCCCCAGCCAGGGCTCGAACCTGGACTGCTTGATCCGGAGACAAGTGCACTAACCATGAGGCCACCGCACCTCCTAAGACCTTAAGGCCCCATGGTGGTATGTTAAACCCAGAATCGAGTGGTTTGGGTTTGGGTCTGGCTAGGGTTATTGCCAGATACACGCATGTCTCGGGCTTGGCCAGATGCTTTTACTGTCACATTACCCCACTCCACGTAGATGTAAATTCTATGGACACTGGCAAATTGTTAACAAGATAGTCTGACAAAATACAGTTCTAATGGGGTAAACTAGCATTCGACTACTATGCATCAGAGACAGTAAGATCATAAGTATGTGTTGTGTCAAGTGGCAGACTCTTACTATAATTTTCTTTGCAAGGCTAAGAAAGTCTAGGGCTTGCGGGAAAGTAGCATTTCTCTTGCTGTCTTGCAAAGTCTTGGATTTAACATTTGCTATCTTAGAATATGTTAACCGATGGTAAAAATATTTATAGTAGAGTGACCAGCAATTTTTTGGATGCATGTATTTTGTTTTTGTTTCAAATTATGGCATTGATTTTACTTTGAACAGGGGTCTTGATGAAGAAATAAGGACCGTTGTTAGAGGGCAGACTAACATTGGTCATGAAGGAAGACAAGTGAGCAAGTTTTATGTGTAACTGTTGCAGGCCTTTAAAATAATCAAATAAAGCAATCACTTTGAAGAATAGAACTTTCCAGATAACTACAGATCATTCATCTTGTAGCCGCTTAAGAAGTTGTAATAAATCTGTACTTGTTACACTTTTAGTACCTGTGTCACTGAGCTGACTTTTAAAGTTGCTGGATGAAATTTACAAGGTCATTTTCCATTAGACTCAACTATTCAAACTGCAACTTGTTTAGGTATTTGGAATGGTCAAGAGGTTTCCCAATGAAACACTTTTCCAACTGATCCCTAATAAAACACAACCTTAGCTGATGGGACCATTGAACATCACATTGAAACTCTCCAAGTTTCTGGATGTACCGGTAACGCCAGTATTGAGTAGCACTGGCATTTTACTACTTACTGTTTATTGCGCTACAGAGTGTGGCTCTAGGTAACTCTCAAGTCTGTACATGTATGCACAGACTTGGGAGTTATCTAGAGCCACAAGAGTTGTAATTTTCTTGTTTTAATTGTTAGACTTGATCCAATTAATGCTTTGCTTTTTAATATTTTAGTGTGTATCTTATCTTAGTTTTTTATGTTATCGTTGCATATTTGAGTATCTTTCAATCTATATTTTTATTTTTTAACATGTCATCTTTTTCTTCTGTAAATATTTATATGAGGGCCACTGATTTTTCAGTGATTACTGTTGTGTTGAGGAGAACTTTGTCTTGCACATATAACGAACAGTTTTTCTAACTCAAGTCTGTGAATACAACTCAACAGTGTCACACTTTATATCAAGGCTGTTTGATGCCAATATTTCCAACTTAAATCTGGAATTCTGTTTCTGTTGCTAGGCTCTTGATGAAGCCAAACAAGCAATTCAACAGCTGTTTGCCAAAATTATTGACATTAAAGAAAAGGCAGACAAATCAGAACAAATGGTAAGCCAACCCGTCTCAATATTTTTTATCCTCAACCCAGTAAATGTAGTACTACTAGTTCTATAGAACTGAACCCTGAACCAAATCCTCCTGTACCCACTTTCCCACATTCTCATTTTTCTAGTCACCCACATGTCCATGTCCCATGTCTGCAGTCATGCTAGTGGATTCTTTACCAAAATTTTTACCGTGGATAGATAAAGATTATCTTATCTCAGCTGACCTTCACTTGCATAAGGCAAGTAAAATTTTGCAGGAAATACAAGTGACAGATAAAAGTACTGTGAGGGTTGAAATTTTTGTCCAGAGCTAGTGAGAATGGCCTTTGGGTTATTGAGTGGTTTTCTCTGCACACTGTCCAGTTGCCAAGCCCTGTGTCTCCATAATGCTATGTACATTTAACAGAAGGTTCACATTTTTATGTCTCTGTCATCTTCTACCAAACATTTTGAACATATCGCCTCATATCCCCCTTTCCCATGTCCCCTAATATGCCTATGTCTCCATGTTTTCATCCTATTTGTGTCATCTCTGGTACATCTGTAAGTCTGCAATTATTAAACAATTACTTTTTACAGGTAAAGGAAATAACAAGAGATATCAAGCAACTAGACCATGCTAAACGACATTTAACAAGTTCCATCACAACTCTAAACCACCTCCATATGCTGGTGGGTGGAGTGGACACTCTCATGTAAGTAGGGTGTGTATGATGAACAAAAACCTCCCTGCTGAGAGGTGTGGTCAGTTCATACAGTTTTAATGATTATTTAGATGCAATGCAGTGTATGGGTTCCCAGTTGAACCCACAACCCATAACTCCTCTCTTGGGAGACAGAAGTAAGTGTTAAAGTGCCATTTTTACACAAAGTAAAGAAGGCAAGAATGGCGATGTTCCACCTCATCATGCTTGTTTGCTGTATACTTGTAGTGGAAGAAAAAGTTATTTGGAACCAAGTGTAATAATTAAACAGAGCTACTTTAGGATGGGTGATGACCTTAAATGTTTCGCTTACTGGAATCTGGATTGAGTGGTGTGTGTTCCTGGTTTGGGTTACACTCCTGGGCAATACACTTTACTCTCACAATGGCTTTCTCCATCCAGGTGTATGAAATGCATACCTGGCCAATTTTAATGCATAGGTTAACCTTGCAATGGACAAGCATCCCATCCAGGGTGATTAGAAATATTACTGGCCTCTTCAGCTACAGCTGAAACTGTAGATTTGCACCAGCCTGACTGACAATTAAGCTCAAATGCAGATTTTACCTAGTACCTACCTACTACCTACCTGCTTTCTTACAAAATAGTTTTGAAAGCTTGCAAGATGTTGTTTTGCTCCAATCCATATTAAATGTAAAATGCCCACGGAACTGTCTGGGTCGAGCTTGGAATCATTTATTATTTCCAGCATTGAGCTTCATTTTTTATTTAATTTTAAAAATGTCCATGAGTGCTGCTACTCACCCTGGATGACCACTACACATGACATGTCTTCTAACCAGTCGGGTACTGCTGAAGTGTACATGGCCCCCTTCACACCTGCACAGAGAGAGGCATGATATGTAAGAGCTAAATCAAAATTGTGTGCTCAAAAACACAGTCCTACAAGGAGCAATTCCAGTGAACTAACTTTTAGGCTAGTGTACCTGTCCTTCTTGCTTGTTCTACAAAGGGGACAGTATAGTTAATGAAGGAGGGGAGGCTAGTGGGAAGGGCTATCCTGAGGAGAGAAGACTGTCAAGAAAGCTGACAAGAAAACTGACATTTGTAAATTTGTAACCTAAGGAATTTAACGAGAAAGCGGCACTATGGAGAGGTGGCTAATCTCTTGCAAGGAGTTGTCAATGTTCTGGAGCACTTCAAAAAGTACTTTGGAATTGCTCAAATTCGACAGTTAGCTGACAAGTAAGTGATCCTCATTCGTAGCCATAATTGTAATATCCCTTAGCCTGAAAGTTTGAAGGGAGCTTCTGGGTAAAGCAAGATGTTAGCTAAGAAAATGTTTGATGATGACTAAGCTATCTCTTATTAGATGGTTTATGGTACTCACTCATTTATAAATAAACCCAAGAGAATTGTAGTGAGAATGATTAAAAGCATAAATTAAGTACGTAACAGAAGGTCAAATTACTATATTATTAATTAAAGTTTCTTGCCAGTAAGAAAGTTGTTGGCTGTTTAGCCAAAGAATACTGTCATCTGCAATCCACCGTAGGAAAAAAGATGGCGGCTGTACATTTTACCACAATGCCTTGCGAACCTAACACAGCCTATAAGGCACTGAGAAAGCCAAATGTTTATAATGTTTGTCCCTGTGCAAAGGACATTGAGTAGCCTGGGTTTGAAGATTTTATAACGTTTCGTTACGCTTTTATAAACATTTTTAAAGTTGTCATGCGCTAAGAACTGTGGGTAAATGTACCAGTCACCATCTTTTTGCCTATGGAGGATTAGCGCTATTTTGATGCTGTACTTACAAGTACATCATAGAACATGCACTTGGGACCGCACAGCAGTACTGTAAGTTTTAAAATAATATGTCTGTGACAACAACTACTCAAGATGACTCTGTCTTACTGACATGTACTAATGATTTTTTACTGTTAAGGGTTAAACAAATCCAGAATGAACTTGGCACTCAAATTTTGGCAGATTTTGAAGAAGCCCTATCTGTCAAAGGAGTGAAGGTACATGAATAGTCGTCATCTGCCTCCTAAACCAGTAGTACATTTTATTTCTACAATGACTATTGACTATATCTATTTATATATAAAATAACTATTTTCTCTCAGCCTCCTGCAGGACCAAACTCACAGTTAGCTGAAGCATGTCAAGTGGTGAATGTCCTGGATCCAAAAGTCAAGTGAGTGTTCCAGCTACATGTAACAAATCAATCGAAGGTCCTACATTTTTTCAACTCTGTTATAGCTTAAATCAGGGGTTTCATGAAATTATATGTTTTCAGCAGGAAGGCAATTGGTTTCCACAGGGAGGTGAAACTTTTTTAACTGAACTTCTTTATAAGTTAGAAGAACTTTCCTGCAGATGGTCAAACCAGGCAAACCAATTTGATCTTACAGCCAGTTAATTTGTTCGCTGCTTGACCCTGAATGAAACCCCTGAAGTTCTTTGAACACAGCTTCTTGTTCTTAACCAAGTCTGGCTTTCTCTATAGAGTGCTGATATTGACTTATGTATTATTTACTGGGACAACATGATGAGAATTGACCAGGAAAACTACATGTACTTAAAGTTGTATGCTCTTTTGAAAAGAGGCTTCATTTTCGGACGAAATTTTGGCTTCACTGGTACTCTAGAAACTGCCCTTCTGTAAACTAATACATGTACTCAGTTTTTTTACCTGACTTTGTTGGTGACATGTGGTGTGTGTTTTAACTTTGAAAAATTAGAATAAAGTGTTTTAAAATTCAATTCATTTGTTACATGTCCAGATGACATTGAACTTCTTCATATTTCCTTTGCAGAAATGAACTGCTGACGTGGTTTGTCAAGCTTCAGTTAGCAGAATATCAGCAACTGTTTAATGAATCATTTGAAGTAAGTAACAGCTACATAACTTACTATGTTTTCTTGAGTAGCTACCGCTGGCATGGTATTGAAGCTTTGTCTAATAGACCAAGCCTTTATTCAGGGTCTAGCAATTTATCCTATCCAGTGTTTTGACATCTTTTTGGCTTGTAGAGGCATGATATTTGAAAGATCAAATCGTTGAGTTTCCCAGAATGGCATGTTTAAACTTTTTTGCAAAGTTTGATTTTTTGGCATTTGATCATCATTTCTGTCCATCACCCCTTTGGAGAATTGGGCTACTGTTGTTTTTATGGCATTTAGGTGATCATGTACATGTATGTTTGATGGCACATTTATTTGTGAAGATAAGATATGCTTTGGCAGGAAAATAATTATAATTAGCAAAGGCCTAGAAGTTTAATGTAGTTTTTGTTGTTCCTACAACACATAGAACAAGGCGTGCAAGTAGAGACTATTTCTTCAAAGGTATCCTATTAACAAAATGAGTAATACTTAAATTGTGCTTTGCGTCTCATACAGATGTACTTTACATTGTGCTTTCATTGTTGCACGTCCAGGTTGCATGGCTTGATAAAATTGACCGCCGTTACTCCTGGTTAAAAAGAGCTCTGGTCAAATTTGATGAAGACTTTCAAGGAACGTTTCCTTCTGAATGGCATGTGGAGGAGAGAATTAGTGAAGAATTCTGCAGAATAACCAAGTATGACTTTGAAATGTTAATTTTCTCTCATACATTATAAGATTAAGACCTCCACTGTAAAGTCCAGTTAGCCACACATACTTATGTGCACCTATTTTTATGAGAAAACTTTAAAAAAATTGAGCAAATCAATAACTAAAATTGCTTGGTCATTGTGATCATCAGCTTTCTTAGTCACTATGTCAGTTGCGTGTGGTAGTTTGGCAGTTTATTAAGGTTCTTAGACTGAAACAAATGGTGGTTTTACCACATTTGCTAACAGCTACAGCTGTAGCTATTACAATGTATCTGACGATAGACCTGCATTAAACCATGTGTTTTTACACCGTGTATTTGTAATACTTCTGATTTGACCTGTAGGAAAGATTTGTCAAAAATCATGACAGCCAGAGTACAAGAAATTGATGTCAAACTACTGCTATTTGCCATCCAAAGAACAACAACCTTTGAAAGTTTATTGGCACAGAGGTTTGTTCATCATGGTTATGAGGTAAGAAAATTATTATTATAATTTGTTCTCCAGTTATATGTAATAATAATTGCTATAATTCATTTTTAATGTTTATGCAGAGAATGGTAATACTACACATGAACAGTGGTAAGTCATTACTAGGAATTATAAGTGCCATCTCATAAGTTGATGCTTTTTGAAGTTTCTGTGTCATTTATTGAACGTTGCACTAAAGGAATGGATTACCACAGCAAAAATAATGTGGAATTAGGCAGGACTTGGTAATTTACACTTTGGGGAGCTAGAATGTAAGCTCCTTCTATGTTGCTTTTATTTTGTTGTAATTATTCAAATATCTTTTATCAATAAATTAAAACCATTTTCAGTAATTGCTTAGGATTATAGTACTCACACTTCTGTCCCTTAAGAAACGTTCTTGTTGGAGCTGCTAGTGTATTTAAGACAAGAAGCCTGCAATTGACCAATTTAGTTATATTAAAATTCAGCCTAAAACAATAGACCTCGGTACGAGGTTCGGGGGAATAACTGCAGAGTTTGTGGGGTTTATTCCCCAGAGCCTCGTGCTGAGGTCTACTGTGTTAAACTGAATATATCGAAATTGATCTATTGCAGTTGCTTCCCGTCACCCTCTTTTCTTGCACCAAACTCCTCTAATGGCAGTAAGCAATGAGAGATGACAGCATTCATTGGCTGCTTTACTTCCCATTTAGTATCCATTAAGATGAAGTGCTTCCATAAAACGTTTAAGCTTGCATTCATTTGGCTTTGCAACCCCTTCTTTTCTTTTCAAATCAAAACACATAGTTGTAAAGCTTCGATGCCCAGATGCAATAGCAGATTAACGAGAGATTCACTGGCCTTTGGTGGGTCAGCCTACTTATTACTAAGGAGTATTTTAAAGACTTTCTTTTCAACAGTTCAACTGCCTCCATATCCCGATATAGAGAAAGTGATTACGTGTATTTTTAGAAACGTGTAATAATTTAAGCCTAGACTGATACTTTGATCTTAGCTGCGTATTTAGTATTTTACATGTATAATTATGTTTCAATGATCTTATTTTATTTCAGTAGTGTGCACAACCCCACAAGCTTTGTAGCTTTAATTCTTATCATGTTATGTTGTTACGTTATGTTATGTTATGTTATGTTATGTTATGTTATGTTATGTTATGTTATGTTATGTTATGTTATGGTTGTATTTGTTATGTTATGTTACGTTATGTTGTGTCATTTTATGTTATGTTATGTTATGTTATGCTATGCTATGCTACATGTATGCTATGCTATGCTATGCTATGCTATGCTATGCTATGCTATGCTATGCTATGCTATGTTATGTTCTGTTATGTTCTGTTATGTTCTGTTATGCTCTGTTACGTTACGTTACATTATGTTACGTTATGTTAAAGCCAGTAGACATCCAGTGAGCTTACTTGGAGTGGGTGTAGCTATTAATAGCTATTGGTTATTAATGTTATTGATTATAGAATTTTGAGCATTTCTGTAGTTTTTTCATGGGTGAACCTTGCTTGAAAGCAGTAGTACTATAAAACACTGTTAATAACTAAGGTTTTCGATAAACAATTAAGAAAAAAAGCAGCGATATTAAAGAATGACATTTCGACGGCTCCATGCTATCATTCTCAAATTCAAATAAAATACGTTACGTGAGTTCATTATATAGTGAATGTACGAGTGAAGGTCTCAGTACTTATGATTAAGAGAAAAAAATTATCGATGAATAAAAATACCAAGCATGGTGCGCTTGGACTGTCAAATTAAAAGTTTTGCTTTAATGGAGTCAGATTGAGTGTTAAGTGTTGGGTTTTTGTTTTTGATGAAGAGCATTTCATAAATTAAACAATCCAGTTTCCGACGGCATTTCTTGAGGATTGTAAATTAGTCATGGAGATCGTTGTTCCTCAGATTGTGTACGTCCCGCAGGTGTTTACCAATGACAGAACACTTATGTTCATTAATGCGCTGAAATAGGTGTCGGCATGTATAGCCCACATAATCTGCATCGCACAAATCACATTTGTATTCAAAAACAACGCATTGTTCGTTAACAAGAGGTGGTTTGGGTTCCGTCACTTTGATCTCATCAGAAATTAAAGCAAAACTTTTTATTTGACAGTCCAAGCGCACCACGCCTGGTATTTTTATTCATCGATTATTTTTATATCTTAATCATATGTACTGAGACCTTCACTCGTACATTCACTAGATAATGAACTCACATAATGTATTTTATTTGAATTTGAGAATGATGGCATGGAGCCGTCGAGACGTCATTCTTTAATATCGCTGCTTTTTATTCTTAATCGGAACATTTTAGTTTTGACAAATCTGCCCTGTTTCTTTTATAGGACACTGAAGAACCAAAGGAGGCCACTGGCAAGGTCTGGCTTGTTCAGATTCATTTGTGTTACTGATATGAACGTAACTGAATTCTAATGAAAAAGGAATTATAATTATTTATCTGCCTGCTTTGTTGAAAAGACACGAAAAGACTCTTGTCATAAAACGGGAGCAATGCAGTTCAATCAATTCAATGTATGTTAGTCACTTACTAAGGAGTTTCAGGGTTCATTTACGATTTAATCCTAGTTGGATATGCAGATCTACATGTACTTTGAATTAAAAAAAATAAATAAACCAATAAACTCAGATGATACATAATTGCAAGGTTGCTCAATTACATTTACATTTGGATTCTTGTAAAGTCACCCAGTGGCATGAGTGCAAGATTAAACAAACAAAATTTAAATACGACTAAAAATGTTAAACAAGACATTGTCAATTGTAAAATGTAATGGTTTTACAGCCTTTACAAAGAGATGCAATGGAATGTAATTTCTAGTCTGCTCATATAAATAATTTCACGATATCACTGCTGGCATACAGTACATTTGTAGTTATTAATCAAATAACGTTTTAAAATTTCTTTCCCTTTTGTAGCCAAAACAGTCAAAGTTCTTGGGGATCATTTCAAGATGTTTTGAGCCACATCTTCATATTTATATAGAATCGCAAGACAAGTAAGTCCAATTAGCATTCTGAAACATGCATCACCCACATGTAAACCAGTACAAAAGCTCGCGCGCAAAACAAGTAAATGCAAAGACAAACCGAGGAACTAGTGCTAGTGTGGTTTGAAAAGGCTAGAATTTATTCCTAGTGAGGACGCCTTAGTTTGACTTAGTTTGCCTCGATGTTTACAAACTGAAGGATGATTATTAAACTATGTTTCTTAATGTTCCTTTGAATCTTTGGAAAAATGAGAAAACCTCGCGATTTTGTAGAGGACCTTAATTCAGCCACTGCACAATAATGACTGTTATTATATGGCTAGCTCCGTGATCAAGCAAGATGAACTAAATCCTAGGCTGTGATTGGCTACCCATGCGAGAAAGATGATGCTATCTTGCCTGCTCGGGACTACCCGCTGTGTCCCGAAAGAACCTTTTCTCGGAATCCATGTAGTAAATCCTTTAGTGACCAAGTTTGTTCGGTCAAGATGGCCTCGTTATTTTTTTTTGCGAGCTTATGAACCTGGACTCCACACGCAAAAAAGTCTATAGAGCTTGGCCAATATCCAGCCATCTTGACCTCACGCATAGTCAATAACTTATATATATTATTTGATAACTTAGCCAATCAGATTGAAGCATTTGCATTTAGTGCTTAATTCTAGAGAAGTGGCATGCCTTTTGTGACTACCATTAATCACACTTTGAACATCATATGTTTCAACAGAAACCTGTCAGAACTGATGGACAGGTTTGTCCAAGATTTCAAGTCCCTGGGGATTCCCATGGTGGAAGGAGATGGCAGCAATGTAGTGTTTCCCAGTGCTGGTGAACTGTTTGTATTCTACAAGAAATGCATGGTCCAGTGTTCGCAGCTCAGCACAGGGCCTCCTCTGCTTTCACTCACAGCAGCATTCCAGAAGTTTCTTAGGGAGTATGCCACTAGAGTCCTGAACAATCATCTCCCTGTAAAGTGAGTATTACTGGTAGATTTATTGTAGACACTTATCACAAATCTGATTGTTTCTGTTATTGTTTGCTATTTGACAATTAGACAATGAGCCTGAGTTTTGTATGAGCGAATTTCTACCGAGGTGTAGGTGAGTTGGTTATCGCTCAGAGAGACGTCAGATTCACGGATTTCAAATAGAACACAGCTGAGTTACTAACTAAGCACCATGATAGTTGACTCGGGCTACGTCCTCGTCAACTAACATGCATAGAAATCGAGAGCGAATAATCTAATTGTTTTAGTATAAATCTATTAGTCGTTCAAAACTTTATCTAAAACCTCTTCACAGATACTTCGAAAATGCCAAGGAGCGGTCGTTCTTTTGTTAACAAGGGCACACTGTTACGCTACTCACTGTTTATCACAGAATAGATAGTGAGTAGCGTAGCCAATCAGAGAAGGGCATTTGTGATAGAACGCTAGTAGATTTATAGTAAAACTTGCTAGCAACACGGTACATGTTTTCTATTTCTTAAATAAAACGGTCATTGAAAGGGGAAAGGGACTATGATTCTCTGTCGTTCGCTTTCTCTCCACTGCCTTAGAATCAGTCTACTTGTTCCCCCATTGGAGAATAGGGAAGGGAACTTTGGCTTATGAGCACCTAAAATTGACCGTGACAGTGATGGTTTCTTCTGATAAAGTTTCATTACTCACCACGAGTTTCTGTGAATGACAGCTGCAATCAATTTAGCTGTGCCAGAAAAATATTTCTTCCATTTAAATCACACGCTTGGTCACGTACTTGAATTCCTAATTTGGGAGAGCGTTGTTAACGCAAGCACAGAAAAATAGCCCAATTTTGGCGATTATCGTATGTTTACCTACAAGAAGGTCCTGAAGTTTGGTCTGATGCTTGGACAGATAATATGTGCGTGCGTTTTACTCACCAGCTACGTTGTTTCTAAAGACGTTTGAAAAGTACCTTACAAGGGTTAAAATATCCACAAGTCTTATCTGTCTTAACATGGTGTAGAATGTGAAATATTATATGTAACAATCTTTTGCTTGGACAGAACCACGGGTGGTCTTGCCAGCATCTTGAAGGATTCTAGTGAAGTGAAATTCAGCAAAGAAGAACAAAGCCTGACGTGCTGTATCCTATGTACAGCTGATTACTGTCTGGAAACCACTCAACAGGTGCGAAATCAGGACTAACATATTACGCTGGATCATAGGTACGCAGTGCGTGCAAAAGGCTATTCAACCTTTACGTAGCTCCATGCACACATTGCATGCCTGTTATACTTAACAATTATTCCATGAGCGCGCGTTGGATATAACATGGTTGGCTATAATCATCTCATATCCAACAAGCGCGAGTGGAATAATTGTTTTATTAATAACGCCCCCAAAATATAGAAAACTAAACTAAATTAAGAATAAAAACTCCCCCAAAAATCGCACGTACGCTTACCATATTTGTAGAGCGTGCCATAATACCTCATAATCCATGACGTCTAAGCTAATGAAAACTCTCGAATTGCATTATCCAATGATCCAGTTTTTAATAATATGTGATATATGAAACTCGAAAGACCGTGTTTGACCACATGTCCAAACACCGAGAAGAGAGTTGAAAATACGACGCGCAGCGGAGTATTTTTGACGAACTTGACGAGGTGTTTGGAAATGTTGTCAAACTCCGTCTTGATTGTTTGATATATTCTCTCGATCGAAACTAAAACCAGGGAGAAAACGGAGAAATAAAATCGTAAAAATCTAAGCTAATTAAGATGAGATATTCAAAACACCGTCACGGTCTTGATTTCCTTTGTTTGATGAATAATTAATGAGTCTGAGAATGTAATTTGAAAAGTCTTGTGGAGGAAGGTCCTATGTACAGTGTTAGGGCAGTTTTCAAATAGTACTCAAGTAACATCAGTATCGATGTTAAAAAATAAAATAAAATTAGATTTGAAAATTGAAAACCAGTTGTAAAATGCTAACAGGCCCTCTTTGCGTTTCAAACATCTAGTGAAGTTGCCATTTTCTCAGTATCACTCTACAAAATCTGACAATTATTGTTTTTTTTTTTTGTTCTTAACCTACAGTGTACGTATGTTTTTGAACAGAATCGTTGTGAATGTGATCACACTCACTCTGCGATGACTTACTTTTTGACTAATTTACCTTTCCTTTCTCAGCTGGAGGAGAAATTGAAAGAGAAAGTTGATCCCGAGTTGGCAGAGAAAATTGATCTCAATGGTGAACAAGATGTATTCCACAGGTAAGTGACATACACTTGAAATCTTAACATTTTGGAGACCTGATCTCGGAATCAACATAACTGTCGTGAACTAACACCCAGATAAAAAAAACCCACACTTTAGACTGATCTTTGAAAAACAACAACGTGAATCGAGAATATTCCAGTTATTGGATTTGAGAAGAATCCTAGCTGTATTTTAGAGTTTAATAAGGACCTGGTGCTCTTCTTTGTGATTGACGAATCTTGAATTGCTTTATCTAATTATCTTAATTAAGCCAGTCCTATTAGATGATTTGGTTATGTAGAAGTTTTGTGATATGAATTATCCTGTGAGGGACTTGGGTACTGTTACAGTAACTTATCGTCGGTCAGTTGTTGTTGAACTGTTGGATGAAAGCGTCGCTTTGAGGAAATTTAAGGTCATTCCTCACATTTGCATTACGCATCCTTGCTGCGCATAATTTATGGGGTCATTAGCGCGCGCTCGTGCACGCGCACATTGAAAACATGACGGATTTTCCTTGATATTGAGCTCTGTCAGTTGAAAAATGGTTCTAGCTCACCAACGAGCACGGGCACCCCAATTTTTTTTCCACTCATTGTAATCAACTAATCATAAGCTTTGCGTGAGAAAAGACTGATCTAATTTCTATTGCTGAAAATTGAATAAATAAGAACAAATAGCAGATACACGGTGGTCTTTTCTATTTGGCAGTCGGTAACCACGTCAAGAAATTTTGGTTCAAATTTTTAACCAAGGATTTAGCTTTCTGTCTGAATCAAACTTAAAACGTTTATTTGTGTCCGACACAATGTATTGACTGTAGTTTAATGCGTGTTCTTATGAGTCCGGGCTCACAAAGATGTTACAATTACTGGGAATGCGTTCTTATAATAATCATTAAATAATGCCAAAATGGGGCATTTTCAATGCCTCACTGCTCCTTAATGAGCACGGGCACCCCCCTTTTTTATTTCAAAATTGAAGTTATCATATGACAAATATTCAGTAGACAACGTTTGAACAAAAATCTATTGTCACTTTTATTTCAGAGGAATTACCTTAAAGCTTTCCATTCAAACAACTCATTAACCTAAAATTCACGTAAATTATTGAAAAAGGAATAAAATTTTGTTGCTGTTATTTCGAAAATTTCGAAACGGATACGAATTGTTGAATTTCCGAAAAGCGAACTATTCAAACGAAAGTTGTGGAATTTCGTGGGGAAATCAATTTGGGTATACCTCGCGAGGTTGTTTGATTAAATTCCATAATTTCCGGAAAATCAGGCTGTTCCATTCGTCACTGAAAATTCCAGAAATTTTTACCAGAATTTTCCTTAGAAGATTCGTTTCACTTTTCCAAAAGTCGCATGCAAACGTTGGTATCCTCATGACGGTAGAATGTCGAGCAGCATCTCCCCAAAAAGGGCGGAATTTCGACGATGTAAAAAAAAAAAAAAACCACTGTTGGATCGAAGATTTGCGGAAATTTTGTTCAAATTTCGTGGCGTCATCCTCGGAAAATTCGATCTTTACCTCCATTTCCCGTCGAAATTCGTCGAAACTCGCTCTCATTAGTTTGACACAACACTGGGCCTTTGGAACCAGTAAAGTTGAACCCTGGACGATTTCTCATTACGTCAGATATTAAACCAAGGTCTCTCACTCTGTTATATTTAATTTTGTAATATTTGTAGTAAAACTCAGCTCAGCTCTCTCCTCCTCATATCCTTTCCTAGGCTGTCAAAGAAACGATTTCAGTTCAAAACAACGCGCAGTGGAAGTAACTTTTTAATTGTTTTTCCACAACAGTACATTCATCAGAAATAATTTCACTAGCAGCAAAGCATTTAGGTTACCAGCTAGACACAATGCACCCTTTTGACAAAAATAAATTACTGAATAGAACCAGCAGTCATTATATAAGAAGACCAGTCTCGTTCCCAGAGTCTTCGTTCCCCTTGACCAGAGAAAGGGGCCATGACTTCATACTCCCTGAAGTAAAAACGGAACGATTCAAACGGGCTTTTGTAAATAGATGTCTTTTTAAATTTATTTCTTAAAATTTTTCTTGTAATACATATGATAGGTTTTTTCTAGTTTAGCTTAGTTTGTTATTGATTGTAAAGCCACACGTATGTTGTGACTGATTTCTTAATAAAGACTTCTACTACTACTATGATCTTTCATATATTCATTTGTCGTCAGTATATAATTGTGATCTATTGACATTGAATAAAAGTGCGTTTTCACGGCCATGTAGTCGAATAAAAGATGTTATTTTCTGTAAGTAATATTACTAAAAATGTATTGCTAATTTTAGAACTGTTCTTTGCTTGGAATACTTTCTTATGGATTAATTTGGTGCCAGATCGATCAAACCACCGTAACCTTAGAGGAAAACGAGCGAGCGTTGCACAATCACTTAGCATCTCAAATTTATACTTTCTGTTTCTCTCCTACATTGTATGATCTCTCATGCTTTAAAGTATCACAATGACTTCTTAGTTTTGATTAGAGCGATCTCTCTCACTGCTTCATCGGAGAACTTGACATAAGCAACATAACTAATAAAAGTTTTAAAACTGAAGTGTTCGCAAAATGTTTGCTGTTAGATCAAGTAACGATATTGTAGCTAAAGGCTACGTCGCCATAAATATAAACTAATAAACTGGCGCTCAAGTTGAATGCACTTAGTATCCGTAGTTATGGTTGGGATTCAAGTGAAATATGAAGACAAAACAAAACTACCTAAGTGCAAATATTCCGGCGAGAACCGTTGAGAAAATTACAAAACTTTCAATCTGCGGCGCATCCTCTCTTTATGATCCTAATCTATTTGGCAATCCAAAGTCTAATCTAAATGTCGCGAAAGCGAACTATCCACAACAACGATACAAGATCCTGAAAAAAGCTGCGAAAGCCGCGCGACACTAGAATTTATTAATGTATGTAATATGTGTCGGTATTCAAATGATTTGGAGTGCAATTTGGAATAAGTAAGTACAAAACATTGCAGAGACTGAAAATAATTTGACTTTTTCAGTGTCCGGGAAACACCCTAAAGTCAGCTAGTGAAACCATTTATTTAAGGTATATATGTTAAAGTGACCGCGTCGAACGCACTCTCATAATATTTTATTACTGCTAGTATTATTTATTTACGTTTTTTCCATACACGTTCGTAGTTTGATCGAGCTTTCTTAGCTCTTAGGCGTAACGTGTTTAAATAAAGTGTTGATTTGATTGAGTCATTGTAGTTTTTGAAAAATTTTCGAGTGATTGCTTATTTATTTATTCCAAATTGCCCGAGAAAAACAGGAGCGTTTTGGTAGTGGTAAATTGTGAATTTTATTTGAGGGAACATTTGCTTGGAAAAAAACATGATTTCGCATGCGTAACTAGTGCCAGTCCCAAACCGCGCGTTAGAATTTTAAATGCCAAAATTTGGAAGAAAAGAGAATGAGTTCTGATTTATCTTATGAATCAGAAATAACTTAACCTTCTTTATAATCGTTCGAATGGAACTCTCGTTTACACGTAAAAGAGGAAAGCTACTGTAGAAAGTCTGCTAATACGGGGGTTTATCTCGTCATATCTTTTATGATGATGCGAGTTTGGTAAAACCCATGCGTCGCATTAAGAACACGGACGTTCTTAATCTTTTGACACTGATTTAAGTTTTCGGATTTAGATGGCCTTTAAGTGTAAGGGTTTTTTTCTATTCTGGTCACATGACTGTTCAAATATGGCCATGATTTGAAACTTTTACAGGACTCTTCAATGGAACTAATCTGTGCATAAAGCTTATTCTTAGGAGGTCTGGTTTTCAAACTTTGACGGTTAGAAACCTTCCTTAGCAAAAAATTCATGACCAATTGCTAGTCAAGACGGACCCCCATAAACGTTAAGAACAGGGCAGCTGTCTGATTGTGTCTTTCACTGCTTGTCTCACTGCTTTGATCTTCCAACAATACAGGATCGGGTTTAGAGATGAGTTTATATAGACTAGGATCTCTGTAGCTATCCAAGCCACGCCATTTTCTATCCCGTTCGCATGTAGCACAGCCACAATGCCAAACGGGACATAGCAGGCAACTAATGCCAGCTGCACCCATAATATGTTAGAAACTGACTTTCTGTATCTTGATATGTTCAGTGGAATCCCTCGTCCCTTCGCTTGTCCTTGGGAGACGTTGTTTTGTATTTTGGCTTGATTATGTCGTAGTTTGAGGTGGATCTTCGTGTAACAGAAAATCGAGGTTGCCAGGTTGAGTATAATGGAAACAAAGACTTCAGTGAAGCCGATATTTGTTCTCCAAATCTGGATCAATCCATGAGAAGTAGCAATTATCCATAAGCAAATGATAACTACACGAACTCGCCTTAATGTCACGACATGTCTGTATCTGAGTCCCAAAAACAGGGCGAGAAGACGGTCCATGCTAATTGCGACCGACGTCGAGATAGATACTGTGCACAACATCCAACCACAAGTACGACGATAGTTCTGAACATGTAAGATGACAGTCGAGTTCATCTTTTTTATACGAGACATGTAGTCGATTGTAGAGAGTGGTTGTACAACAAGACCAACGCAAAGATCAGTGACCGCCAGACATCGAAANAAAAAGTGTAGTCTTAAAGACCAGACTAATTTCTTCGTTCAGATATCTTTTTACCATGTCTTTTCAAGTCTAGTGATTAATATAACAGCTGAAAACAGTGTTGTTATCTTGGCTAGTAAAATAACCCTTTTTTCTAATGGGTCACATAAAACATCGTGCTTGATTATATGAAAATCTTCGTAACAGTGACTGACTTACATGCGTGTGATGAGTAAGCTGAAAAAAAGATATTTGTGAAACTTGTTCTTACAGAGAACGGTTTGTTGAGAATAAATCTTCAATAGCTTCATAAGTGAGACGATGATTTTATATGTTACTACGAAAGCACGTAGTTGCGCTTTAGAAACTGTTTTGTTGGTCTGTTTATGAATTTTTAATTGTTTTAGA